AAAAGAATGGTGCAACTGTGACTGGCGACTCATTTTTGGACATGTTGGAAAGCTGGTTGTTACCCCAACTGAATACCAATTATGACGATTACATTCTACAACTGGACGGAGCTCCCCCCCATTTTCACGAGTGCTTCTCAATCGTGTTTTTCCACAGCGCTGGATCAGATGAGTTTGATTAACCCTCCGGGACTTGCGTTGTGAGCGCAGCGCCACATTTTCAGTAAAAGTCTGATAACTCTTTCTAGTAATTGTTTTCTTTGCTGTCGCTCCATCTATGTTAAGAGGAAACCCCCTTCCATGGAAATTTCAAAGGAAAAATTTCTAGCGACGACTATAGACCCACTTTGTTCAGTTTACTTTTAGAATTCTGATAGTGCGGCGGCCCGCTCACACGCGAGTGTTTGTGTATCAAAGTGATTTCTTTTAAGTTTGGGTTAATTTCTTCTTTATTGGTCACGTTTACCAATAATGGCTTCTGATCCAAATGTTTGGTTGAAGTGGTTATTAGAACAAGAAGAACGTGAAAGAGAACAAGTGAGTGCAGAAGAAATTACAGATTGTGAATTCGATGATACTCAGGATTCTGATGAGGAACCACGAGAGGAGAATCACGGTAGTCAATCCGAAAACTCGGCTGAAAGTTTAGATGAAGATTCCAATGCAGAAGTGATCTTTATCTTGGCAAAGATAAAATGACTAAATTTCGAAACGTTCCCCTTCGAAGAAGTAAAAAGGCGCTAATGAAAAACTTTATCTCTCACCTTCCTGGGGTCAAAGGATTTGCAAAAAACTGCAAAACTGAGATCGAGTGCTGGCAGCTATTTTTCCAGATAATTTACTGGGTGATATCACAAAATTCACAAATAAAAAACTGGAAAAAATTAGAGAAAATTATTCCAGGCAAAGAGACTGCTTAGAAACTTCAATCAATGAAATCAAAGCTTCAATTGGACTTTTATACAATGTTTTAACATTTTATTAGTCTCTTAATCGTAACTCCATAAATAAATTAAAAGTCAGTAATAGTCTGATTAAGTATTTGCTCAATTGATGGGTTGTGGCGCGGCGCTCACATGCGAGTCGGAACATTCCAAGGGTGGACGCAAGCGCTGGAGGGTTAATGTGTGGATGTGTGTCGTGTAACCCAGGGTGCACACATTGAAGGATTGTAATTAACGCATGAGAAACTTTGACAGTTGCCGCCGCTGACGGTGTATGTTATGCCCGTGTAAGGTGAGAAATTTTTTATTAACTTTTGAAACCGCACCATTCTTTTGTGTATACCCTGTATAATGTGCTGCATTGCAAAGCTTGTAGATTTTGATTCTGAAACACTTGGGTTTCTTAGGGATGTACTGCTTGAAAATTACCCTCCCTTTGAATTTTAATGACTTCAAAACTAGATGTTCAGAAGCATTATACTTTTCATATGTATCATTGAGTCAAAAGTAGTCCAAATTTTCCATAGACGGTCATAGCCATCAGCTTCTTCGTCAGTGCTTGTATTATTGTCTGAAGTGCAAGAATCAGTTGCATTTTATGTTGTAAAACTTCAGTAATCAGCTTGTAATCCTTTAGTCTCTTTCTAATGTCATGTTTCATTAGAATAATTTTTCCTAGAAGCAAAAACATCTCGGAATTGATGTCGAGGACTGGAGCTGCTGTTGTGGCAATCTCTAATGATGATGATGATCATGGTTGCATGATTTCTTTGTCCTCATCTTCATAGACCTTGTCATATTAAGCACCTTCTTCCTCTCCTGTATAGCAGTTGGAATCACATAGTTGAACTTCAATTTCATCAACCTCCAGTTGATATCTTGTGGCCACACTGAGACGAAATCAAACTATACAATTCCTCTCCTTTATGAGACCAGTTCAGCTGGGCGAGGCATGAAAGACTTCCTTGTGCGAGACTTTTAATCACAGCTGTGATGAAATGACCAGACAAAAGGAAATGTCTGTCTGAGAAATATAGGTATGGGAGGGTACATGTTATCTTTATCAATAAGGTCAAATCTCTAGATAATGTAGGCAAGATGCAAGCCTAACATAACATGTTCAGATGCAATCAGAACTTTTGATGCAGCACTCCTGAGCAGTGCATTCCATGCAGGCATGATTTTATAATGCAGAACCACGCTTTGAAGAAAGATTTTTTTCCAGAACACAAAAAAATGCACATTTTTTTTGTTTGGTCATTTTCAGATCTGGCATACTGTGTGGTTCTATGCTCTTTCTTCATAAAAAAGTTTATTGCATTCATTTATCACAAAAATTGCATTAGTTTCAGATTTTTTAAAATAACATGCTTAAAATTATTAAAACATCCTGCAGCTGCTGGTATTTAAATTCTGGGCAGCTGCATAATGTAACCAGTTAAACACCTATGGTATTAAGGGTTAAACAATTACTTTCTCATTTTATTTTGTTCTGTATTACAAAAGGACTCATGAAGGAACAGGGATGTTGTAAATTAAAACACCATTTTAGAATATTATTTTATTTTGAAAGTACACATTTAGTCAGAAGCAGTCACTTTCTAACTTGCTGACCACCCTGTCGCAACATATCCTGAAACAAACACAATTTAATTAATCCTGCAACTATCCACAATCTTTTATAAAGATCAATTTTTGATGAGAGCTTAGTGACTACAGTATAGTGCTTATAGACTGAATTTAATACAGGTTTTTAGGTGTTCTTCACTTTCTCTAGTGTTGGTATCAATGACTACAGTTTGTTTCACTACACTGTAGACCTAAATAATCTTTTTCATTGTTTTCCCCAAGTTTAATTGGGATTATTCATAAAAATTATAAGGTTTGTCAAGTTGCTGTACTTTTACTACATTCCTGTATCAATTTCCTACAATTCAAGAGTGATTTTCCCTTTTAATTTTATTTGATACATGTTATGTGTCAGGTGCACATTACAGAAAGGTTTCCTATTATATTCACTGAAATGTATGTCTATTTAATTCCTCATGTATGTACATTGTGGTCGACCAAATCAATGGGAAACACCTGCTTATACAGAAATGCAGTAAAAAATTATCAGACTGAGAAAAACTTACACGTGGGAAGTTGCGGGCTGGTGGTGTTCTGATACGACGGTCAGCCTTGGATCTGTTACGCACTACCTTGGAGTGTATTGCACAAGATACACAATAATGCAGCTTTGCATACAGCTTAGGCAGTTGATAAGCTACAACATAATACATTGAAAATAAGCATAATCAACCAAAATCAATTCCAATGGAGATGGATCAGGTCACATTGGCCGAATAATACAACTTAATGGTCATAATATTAGGATACTTCACTCATAAATATGTTTATCTCAAGTTTTCTGAAAACTGAAGAAATCTGTCACAAAAATATATCATTTGTTCTCGGCAAGAATGACTTACGTCAAGAATTATTCTTACTACCTTTCATGAGAAATCCAACAGAATGTGCCTATTTACATGAATTTAAGGTGGATCACGAAGACAAGAAAATTAAAATTTATCATGTACATTCAGCTGTTTAGGAACTGTTGCGGGGAAAACATTACTTTGTCAAGAGCCCTGTTTTAGACCAAATTATATTGTTTGTATTATTCTTAGCCATCCTATGAAATGTGCTACTTCTGTTACTACACGAGAAAATGAAAGTGCCTATTATGGTTCAACAAGGCTACAACATAATCACAAAATGTCTAAATCATATGTATACATACGATTATAAACGCTGGCTTCAGTAATGTCTCTGACAGCTGCTGCTTCAACTATATTCCGAATAACAAACTTCTTGATGGCTTTGTCCTTGGGAACACATCTTGCACAGTTGGTGCAGCGCACAGGGTTCACATGGCCACGGCCATGTTTAGACCTTCCACTATTTCTGCGTTTGCAAGTCTGCAAAAAAAATCAAGAATTATGGTAAGACCTGACAGTATGAGAGGGGCATGTATGTCATAACGTTAGGTTAGGTTAATAAAATGTTTATATTTTAATCGTCTTCGCTGCGATAGGCTGAGCAACTGGTAAGCGACGATGTCATTTACATCCTAATCAACTCTTTACCAACATATAGTGCTAAAATAAATAGTATATGGTTTAATGTCGCAGTTAATTTCAACCAACTGACCATAAATCTAGGAGACGCACCTTAGTAACACGTAAATTTCTGTATAAACCACCGAAACACCATTAACATTAGAATGTCTAATAACAATTACAAGTTTTTACACTACTTCCAAATATCTTCTACTGCTCTAAATACACTGACCGAGACAGCTACTATGTTATTTGAATGCATAGCTTAAAAAACCTCAATCCCTGATCAAAAAGAAGAACCACATGGAACTACGTACCATCCCTGACTTTTTTAATTCCAATCTTTTTCCCACACAGTAGCTACGTAAACAAACATTATGAAATTGTGTAACAACATAATAACACCATTTCCAGAAAATAAGCGGATTTCAAATAAAATATATAGGATTGTTTACTTACCATTCTATCACGTTGCGTTAAAACAGGAAAGAGGAACTAATACAGATACCAACCATTGATTATAAGAAAACACAGACTACCAACTTATTACACATAAAACCGTTCAAATTTCACAGGTATTAAAATGAGTAAAATCATTCATATCATTTAAGCTTAATTACTGCTACAATAGCAAACAAGCGCCATATAATAAATACAAATTGCTAATACTCATTAAGTTAATTATATTTAGAAAGGTAGATAGATCAATAGCAGGACGTATGGGTGGACGGAAACCGGTGAACTTCATTGTACTGTACTAAAACCCTATCCCAGTTTAATCCAACGTAATGTAATCTACAACCATAGCAAGTGTTTTAAAATTTAAACTTTAACCTAACGTAAGTATTCTAATTTGCATGTCTATTCAAATTTGGAACTTTACCCCTCCCACCCCCCCGCCCTGCACCCCGTATAGATTGATCAGGTTCAAGTGGTGACATAACCATAGATGATACCGACATTACTCGAATCGCCTGGACTAGGCTCAATCCCAACACAACTTTTTAGCATCTCTGCCAAAATTACAATATTCAGTTTTGATGGATGAATGGATGGTTAGTAGAAGAATTGCCAATATATTCCTGGGTGGAGCCATCATAGATGAACTACCGGCTAAAGGCGCGTTCTCACGAATCAAATTTAATTGACCGATTATAGTTGATCAACAAAAGTTGAATGAAATCTGTAGTGAGAACCTTTGTTTCAATAGAGTTGATCAACTTTTCAGTGGATCAAGAAAAGTTTGACCTAGTCAAACTTTATCGTTCAAGTGATGAGTCATCCGCCATTTGCTTTTAAGTTGAATCCTGTCTTGAAACGTGTGAACTTCAGTTGATTGTCAAGTTCGCTTTCAACTGGTCACGCCACTCGTGCATGTGTTTTGTTTTTAGTTAAAAAATGAGCCTCAAGTGGTCTGTACTATTGCTGATCTGAAGAACAAAATTAAGACGATTAGAACGATGTATAAAAAAGAACATTCATTGGTTTGTAAATAAAAAAAAAGTGGAATGGGAACAGAGGAAGTATACGTGCCGAAACTGATGCTCCCAATCAATTTCTTTTTAATATCCATTGCCTCATCCAAAAACGACGTTTCTTACGATTTTTGCTCATGTTAAATAAAATTGTTTTTAGTTCTTCTTTTAACAAAACAGTTACTATCCGTACAACTTCACGCACAACTGCTTTCGACGCCATTTTTAACTGAAACTGTTGATCAGTTTCTATTGAAATGTGTGAACAAAAACTGATTTAAGTCATATTCAACTTTTGTTGATCAACTATAATCGGTCAATTAAACTTGATTCGTGAGAACGCGCCTTAAAGGCTTCAATCGACCGTGCTCATATCCCAGAGCAGCCGCATGTAAATAGATTTATTTTCTGTGATACTGAGATTAACATCTGTGCAACTTGTAACGAACCCGAGTGTTAGGTCATTGGTTTTGACATATTAAATTTTTTGTGATGTATGATTTAAAATATGCTATTAGGCTTGAACTTTTGCCCAAGTAAGTTTCTGTTTCAGTTGTTAACATTAACGTAAGCTTTATATTTACTCGAATATATATAACAAAGAAGTTAAAATGTAAATTGGTAGCGGATTGCAGATTCCACTGCAGTCAAGACTAGTTACATTGACGTAATGTGGATTTATGATACGTTTTGGTAGGTACGGATAAAAAATGATACAGAATTCGAGGTTATTGCTGGGTTAGCTTCGATGAAACAGCATTATTAAAAGAAAACATAGACGTACTGATACGGAGCTTCACCACAGTGAAAGCTGTGCTTGCTTGTCTGAATTAACTATTTTCCTAAGTGACAGCTTGACTGACCCCACATTTTAGACAATGTCAGGCGGTGCTGAAATGATGGTGACTGCTGTATTTATTTTTCTGACATCATGACACGGATTTGAGGCTGAAGTTTTCATAGCATTTAAAATAAGAATTATTGTATACAGGAATATCACATCATGTACGTTGTAGAAATCCATCCCTGAAGATAGAGGAAAATGTTCCTCCAAAATTTTGGAAACCACCTGGGTCTTCCATTTGGTCTGTGTTTCAGGTTATCTTATGAAAACTTTGTGTGCAATTTTATTTCTCCCAAACATGCTACATGACCATGCCCATGTCATCATTCTTGATTTTATCATCTTAGTAGTAAAGAATACAAATTATGAACCTCCCCATTATGCAGTTTTATCCAGGCTTTTGTTACATGCTTCCTCTTAGGCCTAAATATTCTTCTCAGGACCCTTTACATTCCACAGATCCTTCATAAGGGATTACAATGGGACAGCCCACCAACTATTTATAGACTTCCAGAAGCCTATGATTCACTTAAAAGAGAAGCTTTTTATAACATTTTGCTTGAATTTGGTGGCCCAAGAAGCAAGTCAGACTAATTTTTGCGTAAATGTTTAGCAGTTTAAATAGATTTTATGTTGGAAATTCTTATTATATTACTTTTTTCCTTTGTTTCAGTGCCAGTAACTAGGTAAAATTTGCCTCTACCACATATTGAAGTTACAAATCAAAGCAGCTACTATTTTCAGATCCTTGGAAAGATAATGGAAAATATGACAGTGCACAAACAGTTTCCTTACTTTTGTACTGTTGGAAATGGAATGGAAAACTTTTGTGTTATGGAACTGTGTAACTTAAAAGATACTACAGTGTTTGAGGTAACTATAGGAAAAGTATTCTTTACAAGTAACTGTAAATCACAAATTTTGCTGTTCTTGAAGAGTATAGAGAGATTGTTTGTTATGGTCTTCCACTGTAAACAGTTCCTTTGTAAATCTAAAAAGAAATCATTTGTTAATCTTAGAACCATCCTAGAAAGAGATATTGAGTGGCATTTATGTTTGAAACAGTGGGTAATATTTCAACCACATGCATATATTGATAGCATCTGTTCAATTCACATAGCAATGTTATGAATTTTTCCACAAATGATTTTATTAAAGATGAAGAACAGCCAGTTCATAAGAGAGTTTGTCTGAACAGGGAGAATGAATGTCTGACATTTAGAGTATCATGTAAGAGTACAGGCATTATTGGAAGATTATTTGATCCTCAGAGATTGTCTCAATTTATTGATTATTCTCTTTCAAATGTCTTTGGTTGGAAAGTTGATCTCAGAAATCCTCAAATGGAGATTTATGTCCATGCTAATGAAGATTATTTTACAATTGGTCTTCCTATGGTATCAAGACCTTTGTCTGAGAGAAAATACTTAAAACACATTGCTCTGCGGTCGACAGTATGCTATGCCATGTTACTCTGTGCTGGTGACTTGTCCGTCGGGTCCGTACTTTTAGATCCCATGTGTGGTGCTGGAACATTAGTTACTGAAGCTGCGGTGTCTTTCCAGAACATCATAGTAATTGGTGCCGATATTGATACAGTGCAGTTACATAAAGCAAAGGAAAATAAGTGTAGTGCAATTACAGCTTCAAGTGTAATAGAACTTGTGCATGCAGATGTGACAAATCTTCCACTGAAAAATGAATCTGTTACTAGCATTGTCTGTGATTGCCATTTGGTAAAAAATTTGGTACTCTAGAAGAAGTGAAACAGCTTATACCATCAGCACTCATGGAAATGAACAGAGTTTTAACTTTAAATGGGAGGGTTGTACTTCTTATAAGGAAAAATCTAAAGGAATATTTGTTTGATTCCATATCAGAACTAAATAATATAATTTTGTTGTCAGTGGTTGGTGAAAAGAGAAGACAAAATGAAAAAACTCCTTTTTGTTCATCTGATGTTGAATGTGCCACACACCCAAAGTTATGTGAAGTTAATGTGAAAATGTCCTTTTGTAAGAAACAGGACATGTGTTCAACTCTCAATTTTCAGGCACATAAATTGACACTATTAGTGAGAGGTGGAGTACAATGGAGAAATAAGGAGAATCATACTGTTAAACTAGGAGGAATGTTTGCATCAATTTGTGTGTTTGATAAAGTGTGTTGTGACTAAAGGTCCCATTGTTGCTGTGCAAAATCATTTATATATGTAGGTGTAGCCATCCTTTGATTAAATTATGTATATGGTTTAGTGTCATTGTTTTATAGTTACACGTGGTTAGTTTGGTTGTTAATGGTTTTTGAGCACTTATTCAGGTAATGACTTGCACAGTGTTCCACATTAAAATTCATATTGTTTTTGCTGGCCTAAATTACAACATTGACACTACACTTACTTTTATAATTAAAGGGGTCAGAGTTAGATGATGACCAGAAAAATGTTTCTGAGTCTATAAATGACTCCCACTTTGACTTGCTTAAAATACTAATGGGAGCTCCACTGACAAATTTAACTCTTTTTAACAGTTTTGCTAAGAAATTTTAAAAAGTATATAATACATAGCAACATTTGCAGGTTGTGTGTATGGAAAATAAAATTTTTCTTGCTGTTTTATGCTTGTATTTATAAAGTGAATGTCATACTAATTTCTTTGTTTTGGACTTAATCCATTATCTTGTCATCATTAACAAATCACAATTTTTCAAAGGATGGATCTTACTTTGTCTGCTGATGTCTGGGGGAGATGCATGGTCTTGTATTCTGTTGAATTCAGTAGATTGAGGTGTTCTTGATCTGTAGACCAGTCTAGCACATCCAACAGAATATGTCCTTCATGACACCTGAAGGTTAAAGAAGATCATCATCATCAGCAGCAGCATCAAGGTGGACCTAAAAGGCCTGTTCTATTCACATAGAAATACTTCAGAATATTAAAATATATCTTCCTCTCATCTTCTCAGATGTCCAATGTCTCTGTAGCCGATGGGTTTATAAGACGTAACTTGTGCTGTTCTCTGCTGTTTCATTCGTGAGAGATGTTCATGCCATTCTATTTTACGTGGTTCAATTCTTTCACCAGTGTTATATATGTGTAGTTTTTTATCTATGGTGGTATTTCTTATTTTGTTTAGAAGGGTATACCTGGTGACTCATCTTAAAATTTTAATTTCTGCAGCTAAAGAAGATCATCCTTTGAAATGTTGTGGTTTGATAATAATAACCAACTGATGATGTAAAAAGTCAAAAACATATACATTTGTAATACAACACCATTGTTAAACATATTTAGAGAAGAAAGAATATATTGTCATTTTCTACTTCTTTCAGTTGTCTGTGTGTCTCATCCTTTCAGCTTTTGAACTTACTGTTAGAGTAAGTTAAACTTTTTTGTGCACAATCTTTTTATTAAAGCTCTGGTGTCACTAGCCAATTAGATCAGCACTTTGCTTGAAATTAAGTTAGTATAGTTAAATCAATAAAAGTACACAAATTGAAAAAAATGTTATATTTGTTAATGGGTATATGTTTTACATAATGTAAATATTGTTTTTGTGACAGATCAAAATTTAGAAATTTCAGACCTGGATCTGATGGTAATGAAGATCCTCTGTACCAAAATGTAAACACTTCCTCTGTTGCCAAATCAGGTCATATAGTCTTTCCTGTATTTCATTTTCAGTTTAATCTTTTTTGTACACTACAGTACTACACTATTGTGCTGTTGGCAGACTTATTAAAACAAAATATCAGGAAGCAAACACACAAAGCATGTTGCCTTCCTTTTAATGAAAATACTCATTGTACATGTGCAAAATCGACTCCAGGTTTACCTCATTGTCATACCTGTACTTGTATTCTGCCTTCTTGTCAATAGTATCTTGAGAGGCTGGAGTGTGTATTCTATTTACACTGTATTTCCAACCTCACTTTGTATGGCTGTCTGCAGGGTCCACATTATTTTACTCATACAATTAATGTGTAGATTTACAGTATTATTGCATGTTAGTAGTAAGATAATGTTACTTGAAAAGTTCACTGCTTGTACCTGAATAGTCTAAATTATTTTAGAATGTTAGCAACATTTGACTTACAGATATCCAAATGTACAAACTTGTGTTAATGACCTTTGTTGAATGTTTTGAGGAATCTTTTTATGAAGTTGTATAAAAGTACTATGGGATCTGCTTGAATTTGCAAATTTGCTGTATTTCACATTTGTTAAGGAATTTGTTTTATTGTGATTTGTTTCCAGATGGTGAAAGCTGATGGGAGTAAAGCTTGACTTACAAGTTTTGCATTAATCCTTCTACACCTTTCATTGAATTTTCATATTGTTAAGTGCCTCTAGCTGTGTGGTACGACTGCTATGGACATTTCTTTGATGCTGCTTTTACAAACTAAAAAGTATACAATTAAACTGATTAGAAGACTTCAACATTTGGATTGTGTGAAATTGTTCTTTAAATACTGTTGTTACTACCTCTGCGATAGTAAGCTTATAGCAAAGAAGAAACTTTGAGATGAGGTTAAGTTATGAGTGATTCAGATGATACAGATGTGTTACTTCTCATTCCACCAGACTTTTTCTTAGTTCATTCTGATTCAGAGGACTCTCTTGTTCCAGAAGTACAGGAGGGATACAGGAAAAGCTATGAATTTGAGAAACTGGTTGTTAATGATCTTATTTCTCAGGTAAATGAATTAGAGAATCGTATCTGTGTAATAGAAAACAAGAGTAGTGTAGACTTGACAAGAAATGTATGGGGAACAAGTTACTTGCATCAGTTTTATGATTGTGCAGCATATCCATATTCGAACACATACCAGCATTTGAGATACAAGGATCTAACATTAAAGTCTCAATCAATATTGTCAACTCAGCACAGGCTTAGTGGCAGTACTGATAATTTGAGAACACATGTGGCAGTAAACAGTGGAATCAATAGTTCACTGAAAACTCCAGTGAAACAGAAGCAGGCCTTTTCTCTTCCGTCAACACCTAATATTGACACAAGTACATTTCATTTCTCTTCCCACTCAGAACAAGTTCAGGGTAGCTCATTACCTGAGAAAAATGCCATAACAGTTAAACCTATGACTCAAAATGAAATACTAAGTATGTCTTATCCATTGGTGGGAAATATTGCTACATCGAGTGGAGACACCACCACTGGTGTAATGCAGCACTCCAATAACTCTGACAGACAGAATCAGCTGTATCAGGATTGTACTTTAATTGAAGAGATAGATCAATTTTTGGACAGTGTGAAGAAAAACTCTGAATTTCAAACTCAGACTGTAAATGACTGTAACAAAAGAGAAAACTCTTACAACTGCGGAGAGTATTCAGCTTCTGTTCCAGACCATGGTTTTGGGCTTAGAGATTTTAGTAACTTGCCTGTAAGGGAAGAAATAGTAAAGTCAAAGTATATTGCTCCATTGGAGACAGGAGAAATAACGCCTGTCAAACAGGCAGAGCTTAATGAGGTAGATCTTATACTCAGAGAAGCAGAAAATGATTTTAAGGATGGGAAACATCCCAATCTTAACCCAATACATAAGCCTTCATACCAGCAAAAGAAGATATACAGATGTGGTAATAATGTCACCTCTGTGCCAGATCTGGGCTTTGGAGTTAGATCTTTCAACAGCCTTCCTGTTCAGGAAGAGGAAGTAAAACGGAAAACTGTATTGCCTTTGGGACCTTACCAGGTGGATACAGAAATGAAAGGTTTGGAATTATCAGATCTTGAGAAACTCCTTAAACAAATTAAAGCTACCCAACATGAAGTGGAGAAGAAGCTACAGCTTAGGGAATCTTTGACTGATGAAAGTAGTACCCTTTCAGAAAAGGACAGTGTTCCAGCTCCATTGAAGACATCTCTTTCTGGAGAGAACTTTTGTTCAGTGCCTGACAGAGGGTTTGAAGCAAGAGGTATCTTGAATTCATCTAAGTATGTTCCAGCACAAAATGCAGTAACTTCAGAGAATGGTACAGAAGTTCCTGTGCATGAAGAAAGTATTATGAAGAGAAACGTTAATCTCCTTGGAGCTGAAGTACCTTCTAATAAAGCACAGTGGCCTCAAGTACATGGCAGTATTGAACAGCATACAGACAAGCAAAATTTTTACATATCTGATGTGGAAACATTTGGAGAAACAAAAGGTGCTCAACAAATAGCTTCCAATTATCCAACTGAACCAGGAGACTCGACAAAAATTGCAGTTGCAAGACGTAAATTGGTGTTAGGAGGTGATGCTTCTAGCATCCCTGATTGCGGTTTTGGTCTTAAAAGTTGGTATAACTCAGACGAAAATAAAGATGGATATTCTGAATCTGTTTTAAATTCTCATAAAATTTCAAATTATGTTCATGATGGTGTAATTCCTTTACATCCAAGTGATGGGGAATCTACTGTGTCTTCCACTGTTAAAAATAGTTATATTCAAGGAGATTATTTGCCATCAGTACCAGATTTAGGATTTGGTCTTCAAAAGCTATGGATCAATAGTGCATCATCACAGGGATTAGAAAGAAATATGACCATTCCCAAATCTTTTCATGCACCCACACAAACCCATATCGATCATATTCAAACAAATAATGATTTACATGCTGCTGAATACTCGTCATCACAAATACGACCACGTGTGACTGTTGATGGGGCTGGATGTCAGTGGGTAGGGTCTCAGAAAACCATCATCAGTACACAAGGTCAGAGTAATTCAGTGACTGGGATAGGCAGGGGATCAAGTGTAACAGACACAGTGGCAAAGAAGAAAGTGGACTTCAGTGTTGGAAGTGGCCAAGGGGATGTTACCATTATGCAGCAGGAACAAGGAGCTGAAAGTAATATTGCAGAAGGTAATTTGTATTATCTCTCTTTATTCATCATCAGGCAGTTAAAACAGTTGATATTCGGCAAAAGACAATTGTTTCCATATGTCTTAAATAATAGCTAATGTTTGTTGTACTTGTGCTTAAATAGTCATAACTGTTGTCATGGTAACACTATAAAGGGATTCTTGGCCTTACAGTTTGCATTACATGCCATAAAATTTTAATTACTAGGTGGGGGGTGGGGGGGGGGGGGGGGGGGGGGTTGCGTTTTAAAATCTTGGATAAGAAACTAAACTAACCCCCCTGAATGGAGGGTTAAGTTAGTTAGTTTATTGTCTCATTCAAGTGTTTTAACCCTTGAATAAGAAACTAAACTAAACCCCCCCCCCCCCCGAATGG